CATAAGAGCAGGAGGGCCAGGGGCTGGCTTGTAGCCCACTGGAGTCTGTGGCAAAACTCTTGTTTGCTTCAGTCTGACACAGGTTACACTCCTGCTGCCATAGCACTTCTAGACATATCCAGTTCTGGTTTCCTTAAAGCTGGTATCTTCATGTGCATTTATCTCTTTTCAATGTTCAATATTTCTGGGAGGTTTAAAGATTCTTATTTGTTAGATCAGTAAAACTGACTGTGTTGGTCACAGGAATGTTCAAAGAGACATTGGAGGTAAAGGGTGCATAGTGCTGTTTTGACAGAGGAGGGCAAACTGGAAAACAACCTTATGGTCTGTTTTTCTCCCTTGATATATTCAGGGGTTAGTGGGTCACTGCTTGACATCTTCAGATTTCTGAATCAGTGTGCATTGGAATTATGTCAACTGGTTTCTAGTTGGTTGGAAATTCGGGGTGATATCACCATGCAGGGAGAAAACTTTTCTGAGCTCTTCCCGTAGTGAGGAAGGCAGAAATGAAGTTTTTCAAATACAGGGTGAACTTCCTGTGCATTGGCAAAAGAAGTCTGCAGTGGTTTCCATGGCCACACAATGCATGGTTCTCATTATAACAAAAGAAGCCAAATATATCTGTTTGTATTGTGATTTCTTCCATATGTGTATTCCCTTTTCTGTAGACTGAGATTGTAGGTGAGTTTTCCTGCTATTGCTTTTTGGGATGATGGTGTTACAGGGACGCAGAAAAGCATCAGAGTTTGTAAGAAGTGAATGTGATTTAAAATACCTCAGGCCCCTAACCAGAAGACTCAAAAAGGTTGTAGCAAGATTGTGTTCTCCTTCAAAGAGTTTGTGTTTGGGAAGTGTTCCTGAGGTTTCTTGTAATGAATGGCTGTATATCCACTCTCAATGGCAGAGTTAGTGAGGCAGTATCATCAGATACTCAGATCTTCAAATGTTTAAGCACGGCCATAACTTCATGTGTTTGAGCAAGAGGCAGACTCTTAGAAGCAACAGTTGTTCCTGTTCTCACCAGGTGAGGACCAAGCTCTTTGGAAAATCTGGTTGTTGCTCTTGTCACCTAACCCAGCCCCTAGTACGTGTGGGTGGAAAAGTTAAAGGACTGCTTCTTCGTGCCTCGTACCATGCATTGCCACAACTGCTTTTGGGCAGAGCCATGTGCCACCAATGTGGTGTCTCCAGTGTGTCCATTCATGCCCATTCCTGCTGTGTAGGGGTGACGCCCTGCATGGGAGAATTCAGGAGATGAGGAACCGGGGGTCTGGTGTTCAGTCCTGCTGGTCACCACTGAAACAGTTGCTGTTTTGTACACAGGGCTCTTGACAGAAGGAAGTGGAGAGGATCCTGGTATCAGGAAGTGGAAGGTGAACAGTGAGTCCCAAGTTGAAGCTCTGGGCAACAAAGAGGACAGGGCAGGAGGTGCTGGGACCAAGGAGCCAAAGGAACCACGAGAGAAAGCTTCTTCCAAGAAGAGCTTTATCTGCAAAGCTTGTGATAAAAGCTTCCACTTCTACTGCCGCTTAAAGGTGCACGTGAAACGTTGTCAGGTGGCCAGAGGAAAGCAAATCCCGTGTAAGGAGTGCACTGAAGTGAAATCCACAAAGAAGGAGCTGGAGAAACATCAGCTGGAGATCCATGGAGCAGTGGGGATAGCCAAGAAAAAGACTAGGCGGCTCCCTGTGTCATGTGACATCTGTGGCCGAGAGTTTGCTCATGCCTCAGGTAGGGTTGGTGATAACAGGATGGGAAAAGGGGGTATTTATTCTGGAGCCCTGTGCACATACTGTGAAGAAGCCTGAACAAAACAATAAAGTGATAGTCTGAAATCTCCTCCACCCTGCAGCTCTGTGAGTGCCACATGCAGGAAATGCAGCTCAGATTCTTTCTCCTTCCCCACTGAACACAACTACTTTCTGATTAGTTCTTCCCTAATTGGTTTTCCACTTGGATCATCAAGGAAAAGTGGGGCTACTGGCAAATTTAAAAGCCTCCAAAAATAACTGAGCTGTTCCAATTCTGTGGCTGGCACAGCAGGACCGATAAGAGGAGTTAAGTCTCTTCACCCTCATTGTGGCCAGCTCGTGGTGCCCAGGTGGGCTGGGATGAAGCTGCGTGAGGTGCCTAGCTGTCAGAAGCTGTCACTGGGTTCCTGTGCTGGGCACTGGTACTGCCCTGCTGTCCTGTCCATGTCCCCAGAGATGCAGTACCACAAGCTGACGGAGCATTTTGATGAGAAGCCCTTCTCCTACAAGGAGTGCGGAGCCAAGTTCGCGGCCAACTCCATGTTGAAGAACCACCTGTGGCTGCACACAGGGGACTGGCCCTTCATGTGCAAGCACTGTCTGGTGACCTTTATGTAGACCTCGGCCCTTGCCTACCATACCAAGAAGAAGCACTCTGAGGGTGAGCCTTCCCCGCAGGAGCCTGTCCCCAGGGGCATGAGGCTCAGCATGCTCCATTCACCCCTTTCTGCCCTGCTTCTCCATCTGCCTCCTGGCTGCTGGCCTTTTTCTCCATCTCTTGGGAGAGCCGTGGGCTGCTGGCCATTCTCCCAGCTCCTTCACCTGCATGTTTTTGGCTGGTGTCCCTACTCATTCCCAGTTCTGCTACTGCTCCATCCCCCTTTCCCAGGTTCTCCCACTAGCCACCCAGTGAGAAGATTGCCCTCTGTTAAGGGGATTTCTCTCTTTCTCTGCTTTTCCTTGTTTTACTATTGCTCTGTCCCTTCAGATCTAAACAGTGATGTGGTTGCCTCTGTCTGGTTCACCTGCTCTTTCCCATTTGTCCCTCTGACTGAATTTCACGTAGTGTTTCATGTCAGTGTTTCTCCTGTCCTGGCACTCAGCCCCTTCCACAGACAGGGCTCAGACATGCCTCTTTCAGCTCACGGGTGCAGAGGATGCATCACTGTAATAAATATGCCCAGGCATTACAGTGTTGCATGTATGTGATGCAGTAGGGCAATTCATTTTGAATATGAGACATGCCAGTGTGTAATATCTCCAGATGCTTGAGGTCTCTAGTAATTTGATACTCCCTGTGCAGGTGTGGTTTTCTCCAGGGCCTCTAGGATCTTTTTGACCTGATGTTGAGTTGATCTGGCTACCCCAGGAAAGCCTGTGCAGTCTACAGTCTTTTTCCTCTCCCTTGAAATTAGGCATTGTCCTGGCAGAGGTCCTGTCCCCTGTTAGGCACAGGTTTTCACTTTGGATGTCCCTGCAGGAAAGATGTACGCATGCCAGTACTGTGATGTTGTGTTTGCCCAGTCCATTGAGCTCTCATGCCACATCTGGACCCACATGGGGGACAAGCCATATGTCTGCCGGGAGTGTGGGAAAGGCTTTTGCCAAACCAATGGGCTCTCCATCCACCTCCGCACCTTTCACAGTGAGTGTGACTGGCCATCTCCCTGGCTTAGGCAGCCCAACCTGTGAAGCACAGCTTCTGCAGGGTCATGGCAGACCTGTCCCTGCAACTTGTGTGGGTGTTGTTAGTGTCCACAGACTGGCTGGGTGTCTCGTGGTGGGATTTTCCTCCAAGAAAAGCAAGACCATTTAGTGGTTTGATGCTGTAGGTAGGATTATTCCAAAGGAAACGTTGGGGTGGCTTCCAACACACCACAGGCCACCATCAATCCACCAAAGGAACCTGTAAGTGAGTGGCAGTAGCGACGTGTAGGCTGAAACCTAGGTATTATTTTTCACTTAAGAAGTAACAAGCACTACTTTACCTTCTATTTTATCCCTCTATGAATTCTCCTCTCCATTTCTTTCTTCCTTGCTTTGTCTCTTGTGTTTTTGTTGTATCCCTGGTCACCAGACATAGAAGATCCCTATGACTGCAAGAAAAGACTCCAGCCTAGCTGGATGCAAGTCATCACATCACTGTCCCTTTCTTTACCTCTGTGCCTTCTTCTTCGCAGGCTGCAACTCACATTCATAAACTGTTTTTTGGGAGCCGAGGGAGAGGGACTGACAGTGTGTGCAGAGGTGCCTGGTTACTCAGAGACTATTAAAAGCTAGATGACATACCCCATGAGATGATAGCTGTTTTCTTGGAGGCCAAATGCTAGGCCTGAACCCAGACTCTTTCTCTTAAGACCTCAGCCATCAGTGGATAATAGCTCCTTGGATAAGGAAGCCTAGTTTGTAAGATCCCTTGGGCTGGCATTCCTCTAGTGTATAATCATAGTGTGTTTATTGTCTATGACTGCTTATGGAGCTAAATTATAGCAATTTTTTGGATAGAGATTAAATTGTTCTGTTTTCTCTTTTGCATCATCAGTGTGTGTGGCTTAGAGTTTACCATTAGTCTCACACCTATTGTAATTGCAGTTCTTTGGTGTGAAGCTAAATGTTAGTGCTGGAGCAAGGCCAGGAAAGAAGGAGAGATGTGTGTGGCAAAGCGACTGTAAAAAAAGTGATGCTGTAGGTGTCTCACTCCATTTTGTCTTCTACACAGGTGATTCAGACATCAGAGGAAGGAGCAGCAGAACACATCATCTCTTTTGATGAAGCCCATGTCACTGTCTCCCAAGTCTTTGTGACATTGCCTGAATCCCAGGTTAGCCAAGCTGGCTCAGAGCTGGTGACAGTGACTATGGAGGACTTGTTTGATGACAAAGCCACTCTGATTTGTGAAGAAACCAAAGGAGAGTGAGCAGTGGGTGCCCACGTGTGGCACCTGGTATCCACTGGACTAGTTCAGGAGACATACCTAGTCATGGTGCTCTAGCTGGGACATTCTTGGTTTCTGTGGAAAAGCAAGTCTGGATGGCATGTAGCAAGCACAGCATGGCCACAGGAAAGGTTTGTAGACTTTCATAAGGACCTGGGAAGTCTCACTGTCCCTGCAGTCAGCAGCTGCCAGCTTGGGTGAATGGGACCAGCCATCAGTCCCAGCTCATGACAAATAAAGCAGCAGGAAGGAAGATGGGAAATGGGTTTTCTTCATGTATGGTCCTCCACTGCCCTGAGCAGGGTGGAAAGGAGGAGACTAGTGCAGCCTAAATAAAGTTGAGGTAGGGTGGGCTTGTGAAACCAAATAAAAAGATGTCCTGAGAATCTAGAGTAGAAGAAAGGGAGTTTTTTTATGTCTGGGTCAGCGATATTCTCACAGATGCCAGTTACTCTGCAGGGTGAGGAAGGGCTGCTTGTTTTGTCTGTTTCTCTTCCCTTTATCGTCTTGCTGCCACTGAGTCAGCTGGAAAAGTCCCCTAGTGCAGAGATGCTGTTTGGGCTTTTCTACTTGAGTGGAGTCGTCTTTGGGAATTGGGTTAAATGGCTCTGCAGCCATTTAGGTAGTACCTTGTGCAGTGCAGGTCTAATCTCATCCACACTTCAGAGGTGACTGTGTATTACAAAGAAGGGTCAGAGCACGGGCTGGGCAACCACATCCTCATTCTGAGCAGACAACAGCCCTGAGACCTTCCACCCTTTCTCTAATTCAGGGAGGAGGTGATGAAGATGCTACATCCAAGGAAGAAGAAGGTGCTGTGCCTGTAAGCTAGGGCCCCTTGTTGCTTGGGTGTTTAATACAGTTACCAAGGGACTGTTGCTAATGAGGTATTTCTGTCTGAGTGACTGCAGATAGCTGTTCTCGTGGCACACAGGACATTGCTTTGTAAAATGCATTTGGATACCTGAAGTAAAGCTTGCCTCTTTGGTGCCAGGATGATGTAACGAATTTGTTGCAGCACACTGGTCCCTTTAAGAATAAATTTCATAAAGCCTTTTCATCTGCAGTTTCCTAAAACATAATCTGTTAATTAGTGTTTGCTGAATCCATTATGAAATGCAATTAGTAGATGCAGGGTTCCTGTGGCTCAGAGGGGACTGATAGCATTTATCTTCCTTTCCCTAATGCCAAAAGGTTGAACTCTGCCACTGCAATATTTACATACTGAGTGGTGATCCCTGCCCCATAGAATCATAGAATCATAGAATATCCTGAGTTGGAAGGGACCCTTAAGGATCATCAAGTCCAACTCTTGACACCGCACAGGTCTACCCAAAAGTTCAGACCATGTGACTAAGTGCACAGTCCAATCTCTTCTTAAATTCAGACGGGCTTGGTGCAGTGACCACTTCCCTGGGGAGCCTGTTCCAGTGTGCAACCACCCTCTCTGTGAAGAACCCCCTTCTGATGTCAAGCCTAAATTTCCCCTGCCTCAGCTTAACCCCGTTCCCGCGGGTCCTGTCACTGGTGTTAATGGAGAAAAGGTCTCCTGCCTCTCGACACCCCCTTACGAGGAAGTTGTAGACTGCGATGAGGTCTCCCCTCAGCCTCCTCTTCTCCAGGCTGAACAGGCCCAGTGCCCTCAGCCGTTCCTCGTACGTCTTCCCCTCCAGGCCTTTCACCATCTTCGTAGCCCTCCTCTGGACACTCTCCAACAGTTTCATGTCCTTTTTATACTGTGATGCCCAGAACTGCACACAGTACTCGAGGTGAGGCCGCACCAGCGCAGAGTAGAGCGGGACAATCACCTCCCTTGACCTACTAGCGATGCCATGCTTGATGCACCCCAGGACACGGTTGGCCCTCCTGGCTGCCAGGGCACACTGCCGGCTCATATTCAACTTGCTGTCTACCACGACCCCCAGATCCCTCTCTTCTAGGCTGCTCTCCAGCGTCTCATCGCCCAGTCTGTACGTGCAGCCAGGGTTTCCCCGTCCCAGGTGCAGGACCCGGCACTTGCTCTTATTGAACTTCATGCGGTTGGCGATCGCCCATCTCTCCAACCTATCCAGATTCCTCTGCAAGGCCTTTCCACCCTCATTCGAGTCCACAACTCCTCCAAGTTTGGTGTCATCAGCAAACTTGCTCAAAATACCTTCTATTCCTACATCCAGATCGTTTATAACAATATTGAAAAGTACCGGCCCTAAAATGGAGCCTTGAGGGACCCCACTAGTGACAGCCCGCCAGCCTGATGCAGCCCCATTTACCATAACCCTTTGGGCCCTGCCCGTTAGCCAATTGCTCACCCATCGTATGATGTTTTTATTTAGCTGTATGGTGGACATTTTGTCCAGTAGGATCCTATGGGAAACCGTGTCAAAAGCCTTGCTGAAGTCCAAAAAAATCACATCAGCTGGTTTCCCTTGGTCCACCATACGGGTGATCTTATCATAAAAGGAAATCAGGTTAGTTAGGCAGGACCTACCCTTCACAAACCCATGCTGGCTGGGACCAATGACTGCTTTGTCCCCCAGGTGCGCCTCAATAAGTTCGAGAACCATCTTCTCCATGATTTTACCAGGCACTGACGTGAGACTGACAGGCCTGTAATTGCTAGGGTCTTCTTTCTGACCCTTCTTGAAAATCAGCACAACATTTGCCAGCTTCCAGTCTACCGGGACCTCTCCAGATTCCCAGGATCGTTGAAAAATAATTGAGAGAGGTTCCGCGATGACGTCCGCCAGCTCTTTCAGCATCCGGGGATGAATCCCATCCAGACCCATGGACTTGTAGGGATCCAGATGCACCCTGTCTTGCACCCTGTGACCCTGCAGTGAGCAATGCCTGATTTATCAAGCAGCCCAGAGCTCCAGGGGTGCAGGAGATTAACAGACCGGAGTTCTCTAGCAGCTGCTTCTGCTGGGTGCTTGCAGCCACCGGGCAGAGTTGGACAAGTAGGAGCTTTTGTGCCAGCAAGATAGTTTGTTGTGGGGAAGGCTGTGTGCAGGGAAGATGGAAGGTGGGTGGGATATCTGAGATACCCAACCCTCTTGGGGGTTGGACATGATGATCTCTTCAAGTCCCTTCCAACCCCTACAAGTTCGTGATCTGGAAGGATCCCTTGGCAATTAAAAATGTGTGGACAGTTTCCTGGAGCCAATTTGTGCTGCTTTTTCTTTTTCCAGCCTGTAGTGGGTTTACGTGGCAAGGTTTTGGTAGCACAGGGCCATAGGAGTGGTTTCTGTGAGAAGGATCTAGAAGCTGCCCCATGTTTGGTAAGGGCCCCACTACTGACCAGAGCCGAGCCAATAAGTGATGTTGTTTTGCATCTCTGTGAGAGCATATTTAAGACAAGAGAACAAATGTTGCACCACACAGCAGCTGGGAGAGTGAGAGGAGTGAGGAACAGCCTTACAGATGCCAAGGTGAGTGAAGAAGGAGGGGGAGAGGTGCTCCAGGCACACAGCACAAGTTCCCCTGCAGCCTGTGGTGAGGACCATGGTGAAGCAGGCTGTCCCCCTGCAGCCCATGGAGTACCACGGTGGAGCAGGGTTCCACGCTGCAGCCCGTGGAGGAGACCATGGTGGAGCAGGTGGTCCTGCACTGATGGAGGCTGCTGCCTGTGGAAGACCCCTGCCGGAGCAGATTCCAGGCCGGACCTGTAGCCCGTGGAGAGGAGCCCACGCAGGAGCAGGTGAACCAGCAGGAACTGCTGCCTGTTGGGGACCCAGGTTGGAGCAGTTTGCTCCTGAGGGATGGACCCCATGGTATGGACCCATATCTGGAGCAGTTCTGGAAGAGCTGCTGCCTGTGGGCAGCCCACGCTGGATTAGTTCAGGAAGGACTGCATCCCGTGGGAGGGACCCCACAGCACAGGGGAGGAGAGTGACTGAGTAGGGGCAGTGGAGAAGATGCGCTGTAGCCTGACCATAACCCCTGTTCCCCTGCGCCACTCGGGGAGGAGGTGGAAGAGGGTGGATGGGGGGGGGAAGGTGCTTTTGTTTTTTTTTTTTTTCCTTTGTTTCTCACTTCTTTACTTTGTTAGTAATAGGCAATAAATCTTACTATCTCCCTGTGCTGAGTCTGTTTTGCCTGTCTCAATAATTACTGTGTGATCTCCCTGTCCTTATCTCAACCCTTGAGCCCTTTTCATTGTATTTTCTTCCTGTTCCTCTTTGAGGAGGGGGAGTGAGAGAGCAGTTGTGGTGGAGCTCAGCCACCCACCTGAGTCAAACCACCACAAGTCTGCAAAGTCCAAGAGAGAATTTGGAGTGGGGCTCTATCAGCTGACAGTTAATGCTGTAATAATGTTACGTTCATTTAGCCCATTGCACATCAAACCTTACATTGTATGTTTTGTTCCTGAGCATTCAGCAGTTGCTGTGACTGAGCTGTCCAGTGACAGGTAGGGCTTCTTTGAGTGTGGTTACAGATCGTATCAAGTTCGGTAATACACAGGAGTAGGTCTGATACCTGTGCCATGCATGAACTTCCATTTATCAACACCACGTTTCCCTTGCAGTGACACCGGTTTCTGTCAGCAGTGAAATCCTTCTGCAGCTCCTCACAGCATCTCTCTTTGACTAACCCAGATAATCCTCTGCTATCTGCCACATCTCAGTAGAACTATTAAACACACAAAAGTTCTGGTGTCCTTGTGCATAACCAGAGTGGGTTGTATGATTTCATATCCTCCTTTGACAGCATCCTGTCAAAAGTTTTGTTGAAAGTCCAAATAAATGAACCATTCTTATTCATCCATTTCTCCTCAGTGGTAGGAGAGAGCTTTTCCTTTTTAGCAGCGAACAGCACTAGGATGGCAGGAGCTTTGTGTTGGCTTGGGACTACTTCAGCAGTACAGGAGGATGAGGACAGGTAAGACTTGTTCTTGGCTTCACAGTGAATTCCTTACAGGCTGAGGAAACCAAGCTGTTAGCCCTGTTGTGCATCCAAGCTTTCTTTTGCCTGTATCCCTTTCGGGATAACACAACCCCAGCACTGGGTTCCCTTTTTGTTGCTTTCTATCCTGCCCCTTCCAGCTGCTGACCCTTCTCTGCAGCTGGTCTGGAGCCTAATAAAAGGCAAGCCTCAGTGACAATGCTGAAGGCATCCTCTATCAACACTTGCAGATGCAAGACGTCCCATGTTGGGGAGCATACTGTATTTTGAAGAAACCTAGAGTTGTGGCTGTTCCAAATCTTGGGGTACCCCACATCACAGGACACCTGATCTGTGGGACTCTCCCTGTCATATGACATCTCCGTCACATCTACCCTGTCTCTGGACATCCTTTAAAGTGATATTGCAGGATGCCACATCCTGGACAGAGGGGCAGCTGCACGCGTTTCAAATGGTGAAACGAGTCCCACAGGACCCTGCTTCCACCCTCTGTGTATTTTCACATCACAGCCACATCCTCTCTGCAATAAGGCCAATGTTCTCTCACTCACTTCCACAGCTACATCCTCTCCATGTTTAGTCCTCTGTAAGATTAGGTATCGTAGATTGAGTTGTGTGCTTGGGATAACTCCTCTGAAGCTAATGGACTTATTATGGTCCCTCAGTTCAGAGCTAAGGTCAGCAAACCTGGTCTGAGTTTGCCTAGCAGCGGAAAAATCTCTCCCCAGGAATATAACTCACTCTGTCTCCTGCAATACATTTTGCAGGGAGATAAACCCCACCCCTCTGTGAGCCCAGCCCAGCTCTGCAGCTCCCATGCTTGGAGCCAAGCTGTGGGTTCAACCTGCGGTGGTGAGTTTCAGCTGGTCTTTGTCAGCCTGTTGTAGTGAAAATCCATCAGTGCCATCCTAGGCATTGGAGAAAAACAACTCACCTTGCACCATTAGAGAAATTAAACAATGTACATGATCTTTCAAATTGCATCTCTAGCTGTTGAGCTGCAGCTCTGGAAATGTCACTGGCTTTTATCATATTGTACACACAGAAGCACACGTGTGCGCACAGGGATCCCCTCAAATCTGAGCATCACACCAAGAATTCACTGGTGGCTTCTTGGGGATCACAGTCCCTTTGCTGTGCATCTGACCAGGCTGTATT